TTTTTCAACGAAAAAAATGAAAAATAAAAATGTTTTCTTATTCAAAGCCCACATTCCTTCTTCCCCACTTTCAGTGGTTCATTAGAATTTAAAGTCATTCCTTCTTTCCTCATTTATTATTGTTTCGAGATGCAGGATTACCTTTATCGTTACAAGGGTCTTATTTTAACGTGCAACGGTCTTGGCATGAAATGTTCGATATGGTAGAGCTAATGCAAGCAATTTTGTGGGATTGCACGCATGAAGTTGGATTAGAGTGCTGTTTATACGTGTCAGTACCTTAGATGCACTATGGCTATATTTTTGCCACACATTTTCTGCTGATTCTCAACGTAGTAGGCATATTTGGTGGAAATTGCAAATGCGGAGTTAGAATAGAAATGCAGTATGCAATTTCACTTCCATTAGGGTTTACATACTATATCTTTTTTTCATCTGTACAAATGGAAGATGGCTATGTAAACTTATGTTGTTACTGTCAAATCTTCTTCAAATTTTGGGTTTCCATTATATGAAATAGTATCCTTTTTATTTATACCCTTTTTGTTTCCACAAAATGTCAACTTCTTGTCGATTGTTGATACGAAGTTGGCGATGACTTAACAACACTGAAGTTTCACCTTATTTGGCATTAGTATTTGTTTTGATCTGAATAATCAAAACTGGATGAACTGTTTGCAATATCTATAGCTGTATCGAACAATAGACAAAAATGCCTTCTACTTCCATGAATTTGAATCAAACAGCTACTGGTACTTTCAAGGATTCAAGGATCTTATCATCAAGCTCAAATTTTATCTCTTTCTTGTCTCTTCCAATCTTGACATATTCATCAAATCGCTCCTTCAAGTCTACTGGAAGATTTGTCGTACCACTCCACCCTAGAATCTCCTTCGCAGCTCGTGGCTCAGCATAGAAATGCTGCAAAAGTACAGTAGTAAAAATTACAGAATGTGCAATTGGCCAAATATTGTGATAGCACAATCTTTTTCATAATTAGATCAATTATAAGGGTTTCACAAGGCATTGCTCGAGAAGGGGTAGAATTTGAAGAAGTGTGAACTTTTCTTAGTCAAAAGAAGATGGATAGAACCGATCTCTGCTTGAGGGGAACCAGGATTATATGTGTCGGATATGATGATGTGTACAAGAGACGGGCAAACATAAAGTCCTATGTTGACTAGACACGAGGATGATGTTGAGTTCACGAGGTGGTTAGACTACTCCACCTAATAAATTAACCTTTTAGAAGGAAACCCACGTTCGGACATAGTTTATGATGATAAAATGAGGTCAAGCCATACCATGTTGCGGAAAGGAAATGCTTTCTTTGCATCGACTCCAACTGCTTTTGGATCATAATTTACTATCTCAACAGGAAGCCCTGCAGCTTGAGCACACAGTTTCGCCATTCCATTCAACGTCA